AGCTGCAGGTGAGTTGGGGGAGTCAGGCCTGCCTGCCCTCACCTGCCCGCCCTGCTCCGACTCTGCAGGTGGCCCCTCACCTCCTCCTTCCCTCACGTCCTTCTCTCCCTGCCCTCCCCACTCGTCCCCTGACCCCTTCCCCTCAGCCAACCATATCGGCTCTCACCTGACCCCGACTTTCACCTTCCACGGTCCCTTCCTCTGTCCCCCTCACCTGTGCCTCCTCGCCTGTTCTCTCTCACGTGCAACTCTCACCTGTCTTCTGTCTCCTCCTCAGGTGTGGGAGCGCCCCGTGGCCTTGGAGGCGGAGCTGGCCCTGACACTGAATGTCCTGGAGGCCACGGCTAACTCATCCCCGGATCACATCCTGGACCAGCCCCTTCACACGCTGCACCACATCCACTCCAAGCTCCAGGCCTGCGTGAGCGCTCGGGGCACCCGGGCCGCGTCTGGGCTCTGGCCACCTGTACGTGCCCCTCTGTCCCAGGCCCTGCCTCACACCCTCAACGCCACCCTCCTCTGTCCACAGGTCCCAGCTTGGCCCACAGCAGGCCCCAGGCCCCGGGGCCGCCTCCACCACTGGCTGCACCGGCTCCAGGAGGCCCCGAAGAAGGTGAGTGACCGGGGAGGGGAAACCGATGGCTGGGCTCAGCTGGGAGCCCAGACGTGGGAGCTACTGAGCCATCCCCCTCTGCCCCCAGGAGCCCCAGGACTGCCTCGAAGCCTCTGTCATGTTCAACCTCTTCCGCCTCCTCACCCGGGACCTGAAATGTGTTGCCAGTGGTGACCAGTGTGTCTGACCCCAGAGACCCACCTGTGTCAGCATCTTTTTTATTTCTTTTTAATTTAATTAATTAATTTATTTCTAGCTGCATTGTGTCTTTGTTGCCGTGCACGGGCTTTCTCCAGTTGCGGCAAGCACGGGGTACTCTTCATTGCGGTGCGTGGGCTTCTCATTGCGGTGGCTTCTCTTGTTGCGGATCACCGGGTCTAGGCGTGTGGGCTTCAGTAGTTGTGACATGCGGGCTCAGTAGTTGTGGCTCACGGGCTCTAGAGCGCAGGCTCAGTAGTTGTGGCACACGGGCTTAGTTGTTCCGCAGCATGTGGGATCTTCTCAGACCAGCGCCCTAACCCATGTCCCCTGCATTGGCAGGTGGATTCTTAACCACTGTGCCACCAGGGAAGCCCTGTCTCAGCATCTTAGATATTATTTATGCACAAACTACCTCCACTGGATTATTGCTTCCAGATCCCTATTTGTTTTTGAAGCCCCTAAAAGATATTTATTGTTGTACTTTTTGTAAAATGTGTGAAAATAAACAATTTGTCTATGACCTTGACCTTGTTTATATGTGACTGTATAAGTGACTGCACAGCTGAGTATGTGACTGTGGCCCTCTGAGTGTGTGTGTATTGCATTTGGAAGAAGAAGTGAGAGATGAAGAGACTATGAAAGAATAAATGAATGAGGAGTGAAAAAATCACTGAGGATGTTTTCAGCCACAACAATGGAAGATTTCATTGCATCACAAGCTATCATGACATTAAGTAATAAGATGTATAGAGGAGGCTGTGTCTGGGTCAGATCAGTGGGACCATGGCTTTATCATGGACCTACGGTCTATCACTGTTAGTATTTCTAAGGATATGTGTTAAAATTGTGTTTGTGTTACATTCACCCCAACCTCCTGTGGTTCTAAACCTGGGATAACTATTGTCAGGGTGGCGATGTGCTGGGAGAAATATCACAGAGAGAGTTGTCACCAAAAAGTCATTAAGGTCCACTGTAGGCATTGTTCTATGTAGACAGTGGTGTTGACCGCAAATAATTTTCTTGTCTGATCTGTATGTCTTTTATTTCCTTTTCTTGCCTTGTTGCACTGGATAAAACTGTAGTACTATGTTGAATAAGAAGGGTGAAAGAGGGCATCTTTGCCTTCTTCCTGATCTTAGGGGGAAAACATTCAGTTTCACCATTAAGTGTAAATGTCAGCTGTAGGTTTTTTGTAGATGCTGTTTTTCAAGTTGAGGAAGTTCCTTTCCATTCCTATTTTTCTAAGAGTTTAAAGAAATCATGATTGGGGACTTCCCTGGTGGTCCAGTGGTTAAAAATCTGCCTTCCAATGCAGGGGACATGGGTTCGATCCCTGGTCAGGGAACTAAGATCCCACATGCCACAGGGCAACTAAGCCCGTGTGCCACAACTACTGAGCCCACGTGCTCTAGAGCCTGTGTGCCACAACTAGAGAGCCCGTGTGCCGCAACTACTGAGCTTGTGCACTCTGGGGCCCGTGCGCCGCAACTAGAGAAGCCTGTGTGCTCTGGAGTCCGCGTGCCACAACTAGAGAGAAGCCTGCGCACTGCAACGAAGAGCCCGTGTGCTGCAATGAAAGATCCTGCATGCCACAACTAAGACCTGACACAGCCCAATTAAAAAAAAAAGATCATGAATGGATGTTGAAATCCGGCAAATGTTTTTTCTTCATTGATTGATATTATCATGTGATTTTCTTTTCTTTAGCCTGTCTTGTGGATTGTATTGATTGGTTTTCAAAGACTGTCATTGATACAAAGCTGCAAAGAGTCCTTGTATTCAGTATCCATGGAAGGGGGGAAAGAAGATGAATAATCTGGGGCTGCAATCTGGGGAAACATGCTCTTCTGCCTACTCCTGTCTCTATGACATTACTATTTCTTACCTCTGTAAGAGTACATGGTGTACCATGCACTGGCTCTTAGAACTTCTGCTCAGAAATGATACACACCACTTCCATCCCCATTTCGTTGGCCCAAACAAGTGACATAGCCAAGCCTGAGGTCAATAAGGCAGAGATTAATAATTTTCCCCAAGAAATGGATTCCTCACTTTGGAAAGGAAGAAGGTATTTGGAATGATAAGGCAGTATAACACATCCTAAGTTCTTATCTCCAACTCTGACTTTATTGTTTATTTATTTTTTGGCTGCATAGGGTCTCAGTTGTGGCACATGAGATCTTTCGTTGTGGCATGCGGGCTTCTCTCTAGTTGCAGCACGTGGGCTTCTCTCTAGTTGTGGTGCACGGGCTCTAGAGCACGTGGGCTCAGTAGTCACAGCACGCGGGCTTAGTTGCCCCTCGGCATGTGGGATCTTAGTTCCCCGACTAGTGATCGAACCGGCATCCCCTGCATTGCAGGATGGATTCTCAGCCACTGGACCACCAGGGAAGTCCCTCCAACTCTGACTTTAAAGACAAAGACAAATTAGCTTTATTATTGTGTATAGAAACCAGCTCAAATTCAGATCCAAACTGGACCAGCTGATAAGCCAGTAGCAATGAAGACTCTCATCCTAAAAGTTCCCATGCCATTTTCCGACTAATGATCCGTAGAAAGGGATTTGCTGGTGGAAACCCCCATTAAGAAGAGCTAGTCCACAGTGCTGAGAAGGCAGGACCACTGTCCACTCTCCATGGTCCTGAACACCACTCTTGGCTACAGGAGGGTGGTTTCTTTCATCTCTGGGACCTTGGTGGATGCCTGTTAACTTCTTCAGCACTTACAGATTTTTAAAATGAAATATTGTCACATCACATAATGGTTATGGGATTTTTTTTCTTAAATAACAGAAAACTTCAACTCAACTTGCTTAAACAATCAGGAATTTGTAATCTCATATACCAAGAAGCCTGAGGGGAAGATAGATAAGGAGTTGGCTAATTCAGGAAATCACACTAATGTTATTGATAATTCAAATCCTTTCCATCTTTCAGCCTTGCTGTCCTCAGCATTTCAGCCTCATCCTCAAGTTTGATCATCTCAGGTCACACGGTGGCTACCGCAGTTCCGGATATTAAATCCTTTGAGCAATGTCCAGAGGAAGAAAAGGGACAGCATTTCCATGTACCTTTCTTATCACTGAGGAAAACTTTTCCTAGGAGCCCCTGGCAGACTTTCCTTCAATCCCACATTAACATCCCATTAAAAATTGCAAACCCGGGCTTCCCTGGTGGTGCAGTGGTTGAGAGTCCGCCTGCCGATGCAGGGGACGCAGGTTTGCGCCCTGGTCCGGGAGGATCCCACATGCCGCGGAGCGGCTGGGCCCGTGAGCCATGGCCACTGAGCCTGCGCGTCCGGAGTCTGTGCTCCGCAACGGGAGAGGCCACAACAGTGAGAGGCCCGCGTACAGCAAAAAAAAAAAAAAAAAAAATTGCAAACCCCCTAGTGCTCCTGATATCCTACTGCTCTACTTCCCCCCCGCCATAGCACATATCTCCTTCTAACACACCATAAATGTGCTTACTTTAAAAAATATATATGTATTTATTTGGCTGAGCCAAGTCTTAGTCGCGGCACACGGGGCCTTTGTTGCTGCGTGTGGGATTTAGTTACTTCCCTGACCAGGGATCGACCCCAGGTCCCCTGTATTGGGAGTGTGGAGTCTTAAGCACTGGACCAGCAGGGAAGTCCCAAGAATGTACTTACTTATTGGGACTTCCCTGGCGGTCCAGTGGTTAAGACTTCGCGCTTGCACTGCAGGGGGTGCGGGTTCGATCCTTTGTCTGGGAACTAAGATCCCACAAGCGGCTCCGCCAAAAAAAAAAAAAAAAAAAAAGAAAGAAATGTGGTTACTTATTATGTTGTTGTTTATGACCTGTCGCTCTCTACTAGAATATAAGCTCCACCAGCTCAGAGGTTATTGTCTGTTTTGTTCACCTCTGTCCCCAGCACCCAAAACAGGCACAGAGTAGGTGCTCAGTCAATACCTATTGAAAGAATGGATGACTGTCATATGCCTCAGCCCAAATGATTTACTGGAAAGGGACATGAGACAACTATAATTGGCTCAGACCAAAGATGGTCTGCTTTGTAGAGTGGGGTTGGGGCCCACTTCTCCTGAAAGCTCAGGTCACAGCAAAGATGGTAGATTTCTGATCAAAATGGGGGTTATTTCAGGCCTCCATAATCTATTACAAGCCTCCAATACTTATTTCATATTTTCTCCCCTCTCCTTAAAACTCCAACTCCTCTCCCCCATCCTCACTCTCACAGATGGCTTTGCTTCTTCCACTGAAAATATGGAAGCAATAGAAGAGAAATCCCATATGCTCCCACTACCACATCCACATACCTACCAGCATCGGGGCCTGGATGCTCTGCTATCCTCCTTTCTAAAC